TGATCAAAATGGGGTTGCACATTGTATTCTTTGCAGAACTCCTTTTGAGATTATAAAAGACCACATTGTGCAGATGGTGTATTCAGTTCTGAATAGTATTTCTGCTGTGTATCTAGTTAATCTGTTCAGGTGTGCAGATGGTTTTTCTGTCTTGACGTTGATGGATATGAAATGCTAATGAGATGCACAAAATGGTGAACATGACGAGGAGAAGCAGATTGTGAAGACAGAGGTATGTGCCTCCTGTTATGAAATGTAAGGTTGGTGATCACTGTTTAAAGTGCATGTATCTTCACAGCCACACCTCTTTCCTGTGGAGAGAGGAGCACACCAGGATCTGCAGTGCATATCAGCTCAGACAGTGAGTTCAGACTTAAGTCTTACAATGGCTCAGTTCTACACTTTTTTGAAGTTAATACTGGGGAAAAAGTGCTATGCTATATTGCAATGTAGCCTCATTATTTGCAATTAAGACTGGATTGGTACACTGCAATTTTTGTAATTGGTTACTGGAAAACTAATTTACCTAGTTTAAAGACTAGCCATGGAGACAGCTGGGAATGCATTTCTTGTCATGTCCTGCAGGTGGCGTCTCTCCTCAGAGGAAATTATAAAAGTGCTGTGGAGAGCTACCTAATCATAGACTGTCGCTACCCTTATGAATATCAGGGTGGGCATATCAAGGTAAGGCTGAGATCAAATTCATATGTCAGTTAACTGACTAAACCTGCTAGCCTCTGTAGCTTGTGGGTAGAGAGCTTTGGTGGATATTACTAGTCTCCTTTCATGCAGACCCTGTCTCAGGATTATTTTTTGTTCTGATAATTAAAAGCAAAACAAAGGTATCCAGGAATGTTGGAAACAATATTGCATGAATTGCAGAATGAGTCTCTATAAATAAACCCTGGGTGTCCATACAGGGTGCAGTGAATATCCATTCTGAAGCTCAACTACAGGAAGCTCTGTTCCAGGATTCAGTCCCGTCCCAAGTACGCCCCCAGATGAAGCCTCCTAGCCTACCTGTGGTGGACTCTCTCTTGGATACACGTGGTTTGCAGGAAAGGCCATCAGTCAGTGGGTCACCATCGGGTGGCTCCTCACTTCACAAACCTATAATCTTTCACTGCGAGTTCTCCATTGAGAGAGGGCCCCGGCTGTAAGTGTTATCTTCATGTGTAATCACCAACAGACATGCACACATATACACACACACAGACATAGGTATGGACACAGTTACGCACACTTAAACATTGTAATTAACTTGCTATTCAAATATTCTGTAACACACAAGATCATATTTTAAAAAAAAAAAAAAAAAATTGTCGATCTCTCCGCCAATATTTACATTCTCCCATTTTTAGGCAGGAACGTTAATGATATGAATGGCGGTCATGCTGGATTGTTAGGCTCCCCTTAGAGAAAATTAAAGTTCATCTTTTCTTCCTTTTGTTAATTCGCAAACATACAGGTAATGGATTAGTGATGCCTTATGTGAATAATCGGTCTCTGTCACTGGGGTAAATGTTCATGTTTGCTTGTGTAGTCAGGACTGTATTGTCTACAAAATTTTACCACTAGATGCCGTTACTTGCGTGAGATGGACAGAAACCTCAACGTTTACCCTCAGCTTTTTTACCCGGAGCTGTATGTCCTCGCTGGAGGGTACAAAGAATTTCACTCACGGTTCCCGGTACGCAAACTATAATTTATTTAATCCAACTGCAGAATTAACCTTAGTTTAAAAGTACGTATGTCACGTACTGTACGTCAGAAAGCTCTATGTAATTTTCCAATTTCTCTTTAGGGTCTCTGTGACCCCTGTGGATACATACCGATGCGCCACCGAGACTTCAAGGAACAGCTGCGCAGATTCCGTGGGAAGAGAAGATCACGAGTCATGCGGCCGCGAAAGAGGCTACTTTTTAAACCAGATTCCTTCGCAATTTCGCCATGAAGTGGCTCGTAATCACTTTCAGTGAAGACGCAAGACATTGGAGCGTTTTTGGTTATAATTCTGTCCTTCTGTATTTGTTCCCCGAAAATTAAGAAATGCATGCATAAACCGATATAATGTTATGAATCATGATTATTCCAATTATTTAAATGATGCAACTATGAATGTAATTTCAAAAATGTGTAAGTGTAAAAAGTGTAATTGTAAATGTGAAAACCAATGAACACGCGAATAAACCAATATATTATCTTTATGGATCATGCTTACTCAAATTATTTAAAGGGTGCGACCATGAACGTAGTTTTAAAAACGTCTAAGTGAAGGCGCTATATAAGAATAGGTCGTGCATAAAATGTTACTTTAGTAATATAGTACTAACACGCACACCCACACTTTCACATACATTAACATAGCATGCATATCAACTGCAATTGATCATGCAATCATCTTGCAATGTCTGTCCATTTAGTAGTTCAAAGTGATCATTGCGCTTATTGAAGGTCACATTCCTTAGTCTGGAGAGCATGCAGCTTCCATGCTGACGTGCGGAGTTCGCTTCCTCTGCTGGCACATCCGGCGTTCTGCATTCTGATTGGGGAAACCTTGCAGAAAACGCAGACGCAACATTCTTGTCAAGTTCAGGACCAAAAACCTTCACCTCCAGCTACTTTGCCCTGCATCCGTGGAGCCAGGCTGCTCGTCACGCCGACTGTTCGACCCTTCTTGACGCATTTTCAAAGCCGCGTTTCGCTTTTCAGTGTCCCAAAGCGTAGCAGGAGCAGCGTATCTGTCAGAATGGCCGCGTATAAACTGGTGCTGATCCGTCATGGAGAGAGCTGCTGGAATCAGGAGAATCGCTTCTGCGGATGGTTTGACGCCGATCTGAGCGAGACCGGGGTCCAGGAGGCCAAGAGAGGCGGGGAGGCTCTTAAAGGTGATGCTTAGTTGGTTTACAATGAAAACAGTAGCTCTGGCTCGTATTTATTCCCCTCCACATTAAATATAGATGAGGCGAGAGCCGTGCAAAATAACGTTTAGCTGCTTAATGGATTGCAGGTAGACGAAATGTTCTTTAAAGCTACAGAACAGAAGCTGATCAGCTAATGCTTAACCCAGTTAGCTTAGCTAGGTTAGAAAACAACGCAGCCACTTAGTAGTAATTTTGTATAGAAATCGCTTGTTACAGGGATAAAAATTAATTGTGGTTATGGCACTGACTTTGTTGGTGACCAGTAGCTGTTAGCTACCTAATATGATCTCCCTGGGCATCGTAATATTCATGGCAGCCCCACGGAATACTGATGGTGTCTATCAAGAAATAGTCAGACGATCGCAAAGGAAGTTCGCGAGTTGTATGCATTATTTTGTTTATCAGCCTGGTTAGCAATCGAACATTCCATGAAACCAATTTCATGTTATTAGCCATTTTGGTAAGGGTAATATAAAATCACCTTAGCTACCTTTTATGGTTGAAAGAAAGCAGACATGCAAGGAAAGGTAGCTACCTAGCTAGAGAGCTATATACCCGATAACACGCAGGATGGGAAGATACGACAACATGCGTGACACGTGTCACGAAGTCTCTTCTTACACCCAGTAGGCGATTTGAGGGGGGATGCTATCCCCCTTGTTAGCAAAATGACCAAAATGCATCCCCTTTGTTAACCTGCCACCCCCCCCCCCTCCATCCCCTAGTTAGTAGCAGAGTGATGCGTGTGCATCTGCCATCCCCCCTGTTAAAAATGAACAAATCAACTACTGCCTACACCCCTTCCTTTAATCACGCTTATTGCTCATCGTCTGTGCATTCTGTATAATCAAAGAAAATACGGGTTAATACGGGTTACCACGGACATTCAGTTTTATTGCTAAAGCCAGTGACATTAACAATGTCCTATTCATTAAATGATAGAATACACGTGAACGTGTTGTGTTCATTTTTGTCTGCAAATGTTTCAAATCAGTTATCAGTCATCTGACTTTTCAAAATTAAACCTACAAACTTAGGAATTATCGTTTAAATGCCATTTTCACGAGGGCATCGTTGTTTGATCAATATGATGGATATTTGAGAACAGATAAGTAAACTATCCAGTGCTTAGTATCTGAAATATTTCTCATCAGAGAAGCAAGTATGTTGAATTTCGTGTTTTCAGAAGAACACAAGAATACATTTGCTAAAGCTGTTGAAAATGACCCTGGCTCCACGATTAACTAAAAGATGCAAAAAAGATAAAATGAACTTACATTTTTATCAGTTTTACATTTTACATATCGTCCATTTACACAGCTGGGGATTTAGTGAAGCAATTCTGGTTAAGCTCCTTGCTCAAGGTGGCAACGGCAGAGTCTCTACCTGGAAATTGCGTTCACAACCCTTTGGGTTATGAGACCAACCTCTATATCAGTCCTGCCACACTGCTGGATCTGACTTCTCCTCTTCCCTCTCCCCTCTCTCCTCTCCTCTCCTCTCCTCTCTCTTTTCCTGCCTGCCCCCTCCCCAGAGGCCCGGCTACGAGTTTGACGTCTGCTACACCCCGGTGCTGAAGCAGGCCATTTAACATTAGGATTATGGAATCTAACATTGCAACTACAAATCGGTGTATTTGGCCACATATGAGGAGGCTTAATAGGCTATGATATCTTAAAAAAACTGAGTAACTTTCACAATGTAGCCATATTTAATCTAAAAAGAATCTACTTAGGGGTCGAATTGCTGACAGTCTTAACCGCCCTCCGCAGACGCCGGCTACGAGTTCGACATGTGCTACACCTCGGTGCTGAAGAGGGCCATCCGCACGTTGTGGATCGTGCTGGACAGCATTGACCAGATGTGGCTGCCCGTGCACCGCACCTGGAGGCTGAACGAGCGTCACTACGGCGGTCTGACCGGTCTGAACAAGGCCGAGACAGCCGCCAAGCACGGTGAGGCCCAGGTCAAGATCTGGAGGCGCTCCTACGATGTCCCCCCACCCCCGATGGACCCCGACCATGACTTCTACTCCACCATCAGCGAGGTGAGGGGGTGCCCACACCCCGAAATAGCACCTCAGCATAGTGGTTCTAGTGTAGTATGGCTCATAACCAAAAGGTTGAAGGGTCGATTCCCTGCTGCTGGGGTACACTGCTGTTGTACTTTTGGGCAAGGTACTTAACCCACAATTGTGTCAGTAAATATCTAGCTGTATAAATGGATAAAATTTTAAGTCACTCTTGGTAAAAGCGTCTCCCAAATGACAATAATGTAATGTACATTGATGCAATGTAGACTTAAGTGTTATGGCCACATTATATTACAACTTTGTAACACCAGTTTTAAGACAATATACTGTGTGCATGAATGACTTCAGAGCAGTAAATGCGGTGGGAAATAATTAGCAGAGTTGTGTGTACTTACTTTTTCTAGGATGTTTTGCTTGATGCGGTTGTAGAAATACTCTGCAGCTATTTTGCTGTTAGGGCTGCAGTGATCCCTAAGGTGAACCTGATGTTCTCTCCCAGAGGGGGAGGGGTGGGCCCAGCACTGTGCCTGTTGGTTGGACAAGTGACAGGGTCGTTGTTATGGCAACTGGTGTTTCAGTGCAGTGTCAGGTTGTGGTGCATGCTGGGACTCATTATGAGTCAGACTGAGGCTGAGAAAAGGTTTTCCGAGGACTGTGTAAGAGTTTTCTGAGTTGTGAAAGGAGCAGAGTTCTGTCACAGGGGAAATGTTTCTGAGGCCTGAAAATATGCAAGATTTTGATTAGTGTGTTTCCCCTGGCCACCTCAGTATGGCATGGATTCTCTCACTACCATATGAAAAACGCACTCAGTTCAATACTTGTTGTTACTCCACACTGCTGTAGTAATTCCATAGATGAGTTAATGTGTGGCAGGAAAGCACATCAAGGCTGATTCCAGAGTCCAAAAGGTTATAGATCTTGAGAACCCCTTCTCAGAGGCTGGGGTCGTGATTGGGAAAAGACAGTGATAACATGTCAGACACCGTGCAAAACAAGGACACAGTCCCCATACCCTGGTTGTGTGGCCATGTTAATATCTAACCTTGTTTTGTGAGCTTATGAGCGTATTCTTTTGCATACAAATACATTTATCATTTTCAGAACTCAAGGTACTGTTCTTTAGTTTTTGTTATGTAGAGCTGTCTGCTTTCTGTTGACCATACATGGTGTCCAGACTATCCAAAATGTCCAGAATTATGGATGTACTCTGTGATCTTCCATGGGACTACCTTGTTTTAACTTCCTTTCTGAATTCCTGCTTGATGGGTTTGTCATCCCTTTGAAGTGCAGAGAGGGCAGCATTGTTGCTTACCAGCTCTTCATATTCTGGATCTAAGGTGGCTGCCGTGGTCACAAGACACCGTTTTCAATTTCCTTTGCTCAGATTTCTGGTTCAGACACATCTGGAGAGATGTGCGTGGGTTTGTGAATCTCTCATTCACTGGTTCACTGACAGTGTGTAGTCACTGTTTAGATGTCTGTGCTGACCAGGTTAGTATGCCCCCCACCCCCCGGCGACCTGCACCCAGGAGTCTGGAAGTGGCTGTTGCTATGACTATTGACCTCCTGCCACCTCCCTCTGTTTTCCCGCAGGACCGTCGCTACGCCGACCTGACGGAGGAGGAGCTGCCCTCCTGTGAGAGCCTGAAGGACACCATCGCCCGCGCGCTGCCCTTCTGGAATGAGGAGATCGTGCCGCAGATCATGGAGGGGAAGAGGGTGCTGATCGCCGCCCACGGAAACAGCCTGAGGGGCATCGTGAAGCACCTGGAGGGTAGGTGCCACCCGCAGTGCCGGTTTAAGGCCGTACACCCCATCCTCAGTGTCACCCACTGAGCCCAGTGTCAGGCTCACAGCAGCTGATACTCCTGCCAGCTGTGGGAAAGGCAGAAATAATGGCAACATCCGGAGGTGTTATCAGTTCATGAAATCAGTTACTGCTGGAAGTGTTTAGCATGCATAAGGAGCACCGTGTAAATAAAACATGCAGTTATTGTTATAGATACAGTAACATTATAGATACCATAATATGTACCAAGGTGGGCTGGATGGCCTGTTCATTTAATTATAATTATTATAAGGGGCAGCAGTGTTGCAACAGTGAAAGGCTCGTAACTGAACGGCTGCTGGTTCAATTCCCCGCAGGGGCTCTGCTGCTGTACTCCTGGACAAGATACTTAACCCAGAACAGCTTCAGTAAATATTCAGCTGTATAAACACATAACATGTGAAAATTGTAACCTATGTAAGTTTCTCTGGATAAGAGCATCTGCTAAATGACAATAATGTAATATAATGTTCTTGTGTTCTAAAATGGAAAAAATACAGGGTTTAAGTTAAACACATTTTAGAGATCACATGGCACAGAGTCCAACACTCACAGAACATTTTGATGAGTCCTCAGTGGTAAAGCTAATGCATTGTGAACACCTCAGTGCTTTGCCATTTGTTTAGCCCCATGCCTGAGTTTTAAGCATTGTAAATAAGCTTTGCTGAAGAGCTTCTTCTAATAAATGCTTGCCTGTGTAATAAAGTGCCCTCTCTCTTGTTTGTCAGTTACAGCAGAACTGAATGGAAGTTGACCAGTGTGTTCAGACGGTGCCATGTCTGTGTCATTTCCTGTGGCCGTGTCATTTCCTGTGGGCTTGGCTCTCGTCCACAGGCATGTCGGAGGAGGCCATCATGGAGCTGAACCTGCCCACGGGGATCCCCATCCTGTACGAGCTGGACAAGAACCTGAAGCCGGTCAAGCCCATGCAGTTCCTGGGAGACGAGGAGACCGTGCGCAAGGCCATGGAGGCCGTGGCCGCCCAGGGCAAGGCCAAGAAGTAGAGAAACCCATGGAGGGGGGAGGAGGGCAGCGCTCCACATCTCTCACTCACGGGAGCTCATACAACTCACACAACTCGCACAACCTAGCGCTTATCTCATAGGTCGCTCTCTTCCGGCACATAGAAGGCTTATCAGTATGGCACACTGGATATGAATAGGGTGACTAAAAAGTTTCTAAAAGGAAATATCAGCAGACCAAAGTGCATATTAGGGACCAGCTGTTGAACTTACTCAAAACAGTGCAGAGCATATTCATTCCACAAACTGATACGATAAGCTTGGCTGCCATTCATTCTCCCATTTTCAGTAAAGCACCTTCAGGTTTATTAAAGTAGGTTAATATTTATTTGAAGAGTTTAACATTGTGTACTTGTGTGCTGTATAGAGTGTTGTAGAGTGTTTGCGTTCAAAGTGGAAAGTTAACATGGTACATTTTAAAGGGAACTTTTATCTTTAAAAGTCAGAAGCTAAACCTCAGCTTAGCACTAGCTCTCCTGGTGCAGTGGCAGCAGAGATTAGAGCCTCTAAGCAAAGTAAAAGCAATCCATTCTATTTTTTTAGTTGAATGTAAATGTTTAGAGTTGCTAACATTGTACACATTGTTGTCCTACATTTCATTCCCGTAGGGCTGCACTTTAATCACTTGCATTCTTGCATATTAACGTTGGCTTCCCTCAGTTTCTTTTTTGCACATTCCAGACATAAGGGTGGAGAAGAGGAATACTGTATATTTGTTAATCATATTGCACAATCATGGAACCAGTTACATCCAGGAAGGGCCTAGTTATCCCTGAGAGCCGAGGTAGAAACGCTCTGTTCTCCTTCCTCTTTTTTCCTGTACTGGGAGTGGTGTAGTGTGTGTAGTGTATCTGTATTTGTAGTGTCACTCATTGTGTCTGAACATTGCACCTTGGTTGTGTGGGCATGGGTAGAATGACAGTGTCAGCGTGTGAACAATTACTGCACCATTCAAACCAAACCCCGTGAAGAACCCGCCCTATCACTGCATGAAAACATGAGCACTGACCCACCCGATGTCCGTCTGAAAAGATTGGCTGGCAGCTTATGCTTTGAACACCTGATGGTTGTCAAGACTGCTGTTGAGATTAAAATGTTTTGAAATGTGAATGTCTGTTGACTTTTTTTGTCGTCCTCATTGTTTCCTTGTCTGACTGATGCTGATGTTTGCTGGAAGACCAGCACTATAGGTGCATATTCTTGTGTGTGTGTGTGTGTGTGTTTGTGTATGCACATGCTGATTGTAGTGTGATTTGACCACTCTCTCCCTTTAACTGTTTGCTTGACTTTGCTGTCATTACTTTACTGGAAAGTTTCACTTTGACTTGGATTCACCTATCTATCTAACTGCATAACTTAAATGGACCATGAACCCCAAGAGCAAGTCTAATGAACGCGGGAACTGTAGAAATGATGGTGTGAGGCATTTTTGTGTCTATTATGTTATTCAAGTTGTCCCAGTAGATATTTTCTCCACAAAAGCCAAGCAGGCATATACATTTTCTCTTAGTTATATTCTATGACAAGCTTGGATTCAATAATTTCAGACATTGTAGCTCATTGATATTTGCAGTAAAGTGGCTAGAGATCAGCAGCAAACTGGAACAAATACACCAATGATATACTTGCCACAATAATTAAAATAAAGGGATAACTGTCACTGTTTCTGCCTATGAACAATGTAATTGAAAAAGTTATTTCAGTGAAGCTTGGTGAAATAATTGCCCTTTGGTCAAAGAAGAAATCAAACAATTTTAGAGCATTGACAGGTGTTTCGGGTGATAGACGTATGCCCTCTAATGAAAACTTTATGCATGTGCAGTGTGGTTATGAGGACCTCTTCTGGTGGAAGGAGACTTGGCAGAAAGATAACAACACTGGTGAGGCAGAGGGGCTGGCAGTATCTTCTACGTTCTACAGATCCCATTTAACAATTCTAAATGCTGTATAAAATGCAGGGTGTGAGCATTGTGTGATACGTGTGTGTGTGTTTGTGTGTGTATCATACCAAGTGTGGAAATAGGAATACCTGCACGTTCTATTTCAATACGCCACAATAAAAATGGCGTATGAAAACGCCAGCCTCCTCCATGCTGAATGTCCAATCAGTTAACACCTTGCTCTCAGTGTATGGACCAATGACAGCCACGATTCTTTTGCTTGAAAACATGTCTCCCATGAAGCTGTGTGTTCCAGGTGAGTCGGAATAGTAAACGTGTTTTCAAATGTGGTTACTCTGTTTTCCTATTTTTTTCAAGTTATATTGTACG